GGTATTTCTCTTATATTGAAGAATTTTTGAATAAAAGATGGGACAATAATTGGTGGGAAAAGATGAAATATTTCACATAAAGCTACGTAACGGGATTACTTGACCCAAGAAACAATTCACGACAATTTCAGAATTCTATGGAAAATTTGAAAAATTTTCAGATGATCCATCAGGTTTAAATTTATAGCATGGTCAAAAAAAATTGTGAACAAGAATTTTTTCAGCCAAATAATTGAGTGGTTCATCTAGATAGTGAAAATAAAAGAGGGAGGCGAAGACTACACAATTCGGGGTAGTGAGCAATTTGATAAGTATTGTTCTGCATTCTGAATATAATTTCAATTATAATTATAATCAGAACCTCATTTAGTGAGCCCGGAAATTCAGAATTAGTCAATCACTCATTGAAATATTCAAGTGGCACCGAGCTGGATTAAGCTTTCATTAATCTTAACGCTTTGTATGATGAACCGATAATTCATTAATTTTTGAAATTAACAAAAATCAAAGATGATAAGAAACGGCACAATGAAAGGTCATCAACGTCGCGGCCGCTTGCGACCGCGGCGGCGCTAGTTGAAGCAAAATATCGATTTCTTGGTAAAGACCTGTTTGAAACGTAGCTATATATCTATCAGTTAAACGGTCGGTCCTACCGATAATCCTCGAGCACCATCGGGAACCTTCGGTTGAGCGGTCACTTGCGATCAACTTAAAGAGAAAGATTTTCTCTACAAAATGGCACTAAAAAATAATGTTCGGTGATAAATAATTACCACGAAAAAAAATGCAGAAGTTTTTTAACCTCACATTACGCTCAACAATAACATGAGGCTCCGAGACCCGCCCCTTTTCAACGCGCGCAACTCAAACACGCGCGATGCGCAGTGGGTTTGAATCAGGGCTTCTCAAAATTCTCATTCATGAGAATATTTCAATTAAAAAATTACTGAAACGGTTGGAAACAATATTAAACGGTGTTTTTTGCATTTATCTGCATAGTACATGATTCAGATGCATAAAATGAGGGAAGGGATCAATTATCTATTGAATGATTCTTCCATATGGTTTCAATAATTTTATTTAAGGATGTCAAGTGGGTCAAGTGCACAACTATATTGCTCATTTTTTTCAAAAACCTTGCATAATAAACTGTGTCAACTTGATTAATTCATCTCGCCAATTTATATTCAAATTGAGTTGGGATGTAATACATGTGAAATTTTCTTTTTATTTTTTCGACCAAAAAATATTTGTTTTATTGACTAAATGGTGATATCCGGTGGGAATCGTGGCAACACCGCTGCTGTCAGCTGATGGTAGGGCGCGAGGGTTTGTTGATATTCGAACGTGTGTTTGGAACTTATACATGCCTGTGAACAAACCATGGCCTCAGACAAAAATAAAAATTTATTGCGTGACAAAAGGGGACAGTTTATCTCCCAAAAATGTAAAATTCGTGAAACCAGGTCTCGAGAGGGTGTAAAAAATTATCATGAGCAACAAAAATTACTGAAAGAAAGTGCAAAAAAATCAGAAGCAAGAAAACCGAAGGAAGAATCGAAGGAAGAATCTTTCATTTTCCACGGACGGCGTGTAGTAGAACTTGATACGCTAGGTGATAATGAAAACACCGTAATTTTGTTAATCACCCATCCCTCACCCCCAGACTCCAATATTCCTTTATTCTCTCCACTACTCATTAATATATCCAGATTCAATCTAATGAATTTTTTAAGAGGGAAATGTCGAGAAACACATTTTGTTGGACATTTGGTTAGCCATAACAAAATCCATTGAAATGATTTCCCGAGATGAGTAGACCCTGAGACCAATGGTCTTTCGCATAATTCGTTTGAAATTCAATTATAAACACCATTCGAGTCTCATTGATTGATAATTACATTTGAAATCCTAAAATTCACTTTGAAAAAACATCCATCGTGAGTGACAGGTAGGGTTATGTTGACGGGGGGCGTACAAGCGGAGTAGGACAGCTGTGTGAGCTGTTGTCGCTTATCATCCATTTTGCTACGAGCGATTTTTTTCCCCGGAAGTGAGTCGAAAAATTAAGATTTCGTTCTTATTTGCCCCGGTTCCTCTGATTTCGCCCGGATCAATCGATTCAGCTTTGTTTTTAACGTTTTTTCCATATTTTTCGGGATTTTTCATGACTCTCGAAATTGGCTAATCTTTTATTTTAGTGCATAATCTCATAAGAGCCAATGCTGGATCTTCAAATTTTGTTTATTTAAATTCTCAATAATTAATACCGGTTGAAAGGTCAAGATTGTCATCTAAATTTTTTAAATATTTCTCGCTATTACAGGAAAAAAAATTGAATTTCTGTTGATTTATTAAACATTTTCACTTGGCACCCTTAATAAGGGGAAACTCATGAAAGGTGAGGATTAAGGGATCCTCAGCCACGCCCCAAGGGTCCTACGCAGAGATTATAAGGGAGATTGCCAGCGCTTATGGAAACGTTTCAACCGCAAAATTTCGGAGCGTTGGCGCATGAACTACTCCAAAATACGTACCTGTGAGTAAAACAGGGAGCGTATGAGAGCGTCGATAACGGCGTAGAATGGGGGAAAGCGCCTATGTGGGGGGAATCGCAGGGCTGCGCAAGCCGTGATGAGTATCCCAACGACGTTAAGAGAAACCTTCCGGTAGTAAGGGTGCCAAGTGAAAATGTTTAATAAATCAACAGAAATTAAATTTTTTTTTCCTGTAATAGCGATCAATATTTAAAAAATTTAGATGACAATCTTGACCTTTCAACCGGTATTAATTATTGAGAATTTAAATAAACAAAATTTGAAGATCCAGCATTGACTCTTACGAGGTTATGCACTAAAATGAAAGATTGGCCAATTTAGAGATTCATGAAAAATCCCGAAAAATATGGAAAAAATGTAAAAAAAAAAGCTGAATCGATTGATCCGGGCGAAATCAGAGGAACCGGGGCAAATAAGAACGAAATCTTAATTTTTCGACTCACTTCCGGGGAAAAAAATCGCGCGTAGCAAAATGGATACGCGACAACAGCGCACACAGCTGTCCTACTCCACTTGTATGCCCCCCGTCAACATAACCGCAAGTAGCAAACCTTGCGAAAGATATCTGAAAGTATACAAAAAAGGCAGACTAATGTCCGTCCAAAAGGTATCTTGCAGTCATACGATAACTTTTAGTTAACTTCTAGGTAACTTCTAGACACAAGTTACCTTTTTGGACAGACATTAGACAGCCTTTTTGGTATACTTGCAGATACCCTCCAGAACTGTGCTGCTTAGGAACCCTACGTGTCACTCACGATGGAGGTTTTTTCAAAGTGAATTTTAGGATTTCAAACGTAATTATCAATCAATGAGACTCGAATGGTGTTTATAATTGAATTTCAAACGAATTGTGCGAAAGAACATTTGTCTCAGGATCTACTCATCTCGGGAAATCATTTCAATGGATCTTGTTATGACTAACCAAATGTCCAACAAAATGTGTTTCTCGACATTTCCCTCTTGAAAAATTCATTAGATTGAATCTGGATATATTAATGAGTAGTGGAGAGAATAAAGGAATATTGGAGTCTGGGAGTGAGGGATGGGTGATTAAGAAAATTACGGTGTTTTCATTATCACCTAGCGTATCACGTTCTACTACACGCCGTCCGTGGAAAATGAAAGGTTCTTCCTTCGATTCTTCCTTCGGTTTTCTTGCTTCTGATTTTTTTGCACTTTCTTTCAGTAATTTTTGGTGCTCATTATAATTTTTTTCACCCTCTCGAGACCTGGTTTCACGAAGTTTACATTTTTGGGAGATAAACTGTCCCCTTTTGTCACGCAATAAATTTTTATTTTTGTCTGAGGCCATGGTTTGTTCACAGGCATGTATAACCTCCAACCAGCGTTGCCAACCATACCATTATCATGGTATCTATACCATGAAACTGGCTCCGATACCATGTACCATGATGCCCGTCATGGTATCATGGTATACCATTTTCCACGCGAGGAATGAAGGGAATGTCCTAAAAATTTATTATCTTCGGATAACTTTATTAAATATTTTAATGCTTTTCTTTCCTGAAAATTACATTGATTCTATGACTTCTATCAGCAGCTGAAATTTGTTCAATGAATCTCCAATGACAATAAAAAAAGTTGGTTTAAAAAAAACGTCCGTCTCTGTCCAGTACGAGTTTTAACTTATCGCTTGTCATTATTGATGCCGTTTGACACTCAAACCCTGTTGGTAGAAGTGATAATCGATCTTCGTTTGAATTATTGGTACATCGAATTTCATGAAAAATTTGAGGTTTAAGAATGGTAAAGCGGACACTATTCAGGGACACCAAGCCGCCAGCGACTCTCGGAAGGACCATCAGTCGATAAAATGGAATTTGTCCGATGGAATGTCCGACGAATCATGTACAGCGAGACAAAAATTGNCTGGTACATCGAATTTCATGAAAAATTTGAGGTAGAAGTGATAATCGATCTTCGTTTGAATTATTGGTACATCGAATTTCATGAAAAATTTGAGGTTTAAGAATGGTAAAGCGGACACTATTCAGGGACACCAAGAGCGCCAGCGACTCTCGGAAGGACCATCAGTCGATAAAATGGAATTTGTCCGATGGAATGTCCGACGAATCATGTACAGCGAGACAAAAATTGCACCGATCATAAAATTCGTTACAACACAGGGAGCCCCCTACTTCGCCTATCTCGTTTTCTTGCCACAACAGCTGATATTCACTAGCGGTGTGACCTCCATAACTCGTCACAAGAACTGATTGATAGGTGCCGGCACTCCCTTTCGAAATTCCTCCACGAGAGTCACAACTATTTGTAAAAAAGTTCGCGTATTTTGATTATAATCTTGCTGTAAATACCACAGGTAAATATCGATGAATGACATTGAGCTGCACTTACGGTTTCAATATAAGGTTAGAATTTCCAGCACTACTGGGCGAAAAACTTGCTTCAGGTAATATGGAAGACGAAGATAATGCATGTCGAACACCACCAAAAAAGAAATCGAGAGTCGAACAAGGGAGTAAACCTAAAGTCGCCCAGAAGTTTCGAGATGATTGGCTGCAGATGAATGAGTTCAAGTCTTGGCTACAGCGTGTTCCTGCTAATCCTCTCAAAGCCAGATGTAAATTGTGTTCTCAGGAATACACTGCTGATATATCTGTATTGAAGACACATGCCAAAACAGATAAACACAAAGAGAGGGAAAGACCACTGAAGAACACAAGCATAAAAATGACTCAGTTTCTTCAACGTGAAGACGGCACTGGAGACCCCTTAGACACTGCGGAAATAAAAATTGCTGCATTCTGTGCCGATCACCAAATTGCCTACAACGCATTGGATCACCTGTCAGACCTGCTGAAAGAATGTTTCCCTGATTCCAGAATTGCTCAAAAAATGGCTGTGAAACGAACCAAGGGAACGGCAATTGTCAAAAATGTCATTGGCGAAACGGAAAGGCGCATACTTGCGGAGAAGCTGAAGAACACTAAATTCAGCATTTTGACAGACGAATCCACAGACATTTCGGCTACTAAAACAAGTTATTTGCTTGTGAGATATTTTGATGAAGGAGAAGGCAAGGTTGTATCGAAATTTTGGGAATGCACATTACGATCCTAAAGTGCATTTGCCACTCGCTGCATATTTGCGCAAGCGAAGCTTGTAAACAATTACCACGTAGTTGTGAAGGCTTAGCTCGCAATATCTACAATTTTTTCAATAGCAGTTGTAAGAGGCAAAGTGAGTACGTGGAATTCCAGATGTTTACGAACGTTGAAATCCACAAACTCTTGCATCCATCCCAGACACGTTGGTTGTCGTTAGTATCAGTGGTAGACAGAATTCTCGAACAATGGCCTGCTCTGCTATTGTTTTTCAATGATCAGTGGTTAGCACTCAAGTTGAAGACGGCAGAGTCCATTCACGAAAGTTTGAATGATCCGTTCAATAAACTGTTCTTGTTCTTCCTGCAGTGGGTTCTCTCCAAATTCACTGAAGTCAACAGATCTTTTCAGTCTGCCAAAGTTGTAATCACAGATCTTCATGGGGCCATGGTTGATCTGTATAAGACCCTCCTTTATGGTTTCTGAGGATAAAACCCATTATCTTCCACTTGAAGAGATGTATCTGGGGGCACAGGTGCTACAAGAGCAGCAGAACAGGAAGATCCAGGAGCGCCCGAATCTACTGAAACATTTTCGAGAGAAATTTCAGGCCTTTTTGATCTCTGCCTGTCTTGAGGTACGAAAGCGATATGACTTTGAGAATAGTTTTTTGGAGAACCTGAGAATTTTCAAGCCCAAATACGCGCTGTCAAGCACTGAACGAGAGAAAACGCCTTCTCTCATTCCTCTTCTAGTCACGCTCCCCAGAGTTTGTGCCAAAGAGAATTACCAGGACATTGAGGACGAGTGGCGCCGGCTTTGCTGCTACCCTCTTAACAACGAGATGAAGGGAGTGGACACTGATGTATTCTGGGCGAAACTGTTGGCCCTGAAGAACGATGACGATATCCATTTGTTTCAGAATTTGAGTCACTGCGTTCTCAATGTGTTATCGCTTTCCCCATTCAAACGCCGACAGCGAAAGAGTGTTCTCTAAAGTCAACCTCATAAAGACGAAATGGAGAAATCGCCTCATCGTATCCACTGTTCGAGGTACCCTGTTTACCATCCAGCATGTCGTGGCTAGCGGTGGCTGTGTTGCTTTCAGACCTACCAAAGAGGTTTTGTCGAGGATGACCAAAGACTCACTCTACGATAAGCCAAAGAAATCCGAAAGTATGGCAGAGCAAGACGAAGAAGATGACGGAGCGGATGTGATATTCGAGAATGTCTAAATTGAGACTTGAGATTATTCAATATTTATATTATTAAAAAATGTTCAAGATGACGGAGGTAATACTCTATTCAAAGAAGTCCAGATTGAAACTTGAGATTATTTAATATTTATATTATTAAAAAATTATTCGAGGAAGTCTCGATTGAGAGTTAAGATTGTACTAATATTTGTGTTAATTTGTGTTATTAAAAAAAGTTTATGATACAAAACTTTTGAATTTTCTCCAAAAACCCTATTTTATCGGCGGATACCATTATTACCTCTGAAATACCATTATTTTTCCCACCCCATACCATGATCCGAGCGCCACGGGTTGGCAACGGTGCCTCCAACACACGTTCGAATAGCAACAAACCGTCGCGCCTCTACCATCAGCTGACAGCAGCGGTGTTGCCACGATTTCCACTGGATATCACCATTTAGTCAATAAAACATATTTTTTGGTCGAAAAAATAAAAATAAAATTTTACATGTATTACATCCCAACTCAATTTAAATATAAATTGGCGAGATGAATTAATCAAGTTAACACAATTTATTATGCAAGGTTTTTGAAAAAAATGATCAATTTATGACTTGGTTGGCTTCCGGATGGATGCCGCGTTGAGTTTCAGCATTGCGCCGACGTTTCGCAAACATTGCAGTCTGCATCTTCAGGGCTATGAGCTCCGATTCTGAGCTCCGATGTGTGGGGGCAGTCCTTATATACCTTCCCTTGTGGTGGTGGGAGAAGGGGAAGGGGGGGGGGACAGCCAATCATATGTTTTTAATTGATCAGCTGGTCAATTAAAAAACCGGGAGGACGGTTTTCCAAATGGGGTTCACTTGATATCCTCTGTCCCTGTTGAGGTTGTTAGGGTTTTTATGGATCTCCAAACCCTCTCGGTATTTC